CACCAATCCGGGTGAGGCAGTGGCTGTGCTGAACCGGATTGGTGGAAAATGAGAGGTAGAGCTGGGTATCATCAGCATACTGATGATTCCGCAGCCCACACCTCCTGATGACCTCTCCTAGCGGTTTCATGTAGATGTTAAACAGCAAAGGGGACAAAATGGACCCCTGCGGTACTCCATGGCATAGCTGCCATGGCGCAGAGCCATAGTCCCCCAGCACCACCTTCTGGAATTGGTCATTGAGATAGGAGCGGAACCACCGCAAAGCAGTGCCTCCGACCCCCAATCCCGCTAGCCTATCCAGAAGGATACCATGGTCGATGGTATGGAAAGCCGCCGAGAGGTCCAGAAGAACCAACAGGGATGCACTCTCCCTGTCCTTCTCCCTGCACAGGTCATCGTACAGGGTGACCAAGGCAGATTCAGTATCGTACCTGGGTCTGAAGCTGGACTGAAATGGGTCCAGATAATCAGTTTCATCCAAGAGAGCTTGGAGTTGTCCTGCTACCACCTGCTCCAACACCTTGCCCAGAAACGGGATGTTGGCCACTGGTCTATAATTAGTGGCCATCTCTGGATCCAGTGACGCTTTCTTCAGGACCGGTCGGACTACCGCCTCCTTTAAAGGGGCAGGTACCCGATCCTCCCTCAGAGAAGCATTAAACACTTCCAAGATCCAGATCCCAATCCCATGCTTGGAGTTATTTATTAACCAAGACGGGCAAGGGTCCAATAGGCAAGTGGTGGGACGTACTCGTCCAAGCACCTTGTCCACATCATCAGGCTGCAATAACTGAAATTCATCCATAAATTTTGGACCAGACGGTGGCATTGGTATCTCCCGAGAAACCTCTGAGTCACTAGTAGAGTCTAGCTCGTGACGAATCTGAGCGATTTTCTCCCTGAAATGCTTGGCAAAGTCGTCACAGTGGGCCTTTGAGCGTGGAACCAGATCTTTCTTAGGACCTGGACGAACCATGCCTTGCACCACTCGAAAAAGCTCCGCCGGACGGCATTTTGAGGAGGCAATGGAAACGGAAAAGAATTTCTTTTTCGCCACCCTCACCGCCACAGCATAGGCCCAATAATGGGCTCTCAAGTGTGTTCGGTCAGATTTATCCCGTGATCTCCTCCACCTACACTCTAGCCGTCTCCCAGCCTGCTTCATCGCCTGCAATTCAGGTGTATATCAAGGGGAAGAGTGGGCTCTGCCCAGCAAGAGAGGACGCTTAGGAGCGATCGTGTCAACAGCCCTGGTCATCTCCCTGTTCCACAGTTCGACCAGAGCCTCGACAGGAGCACCAGTCTTGTCAGCCGGAAACTCCCCCAGGGCCTTCAGAAATCCATCTGGATCCATCCGGCTCCAGGGGCGGACCCACACAATCGGGTCCGCACCCTTACAGAGGGAGAGGCCGCTCTCGAGCACAAACCTCACCAGGAAGTGATCTGACCATGACAGGGGTGTCAGACACAAATTTCCCACCCTCAGACCACCCTCTTCCTGCCCCGTCGAGAAAACCAGGTCCAGAGTGTGTCCACATTAATGGGTCGGGCCGATGACATGTTGAGACAGTCCCATGGCCATCATGGAGGCCATGAAGTCCTGAGCTGTCCCGGTCAGACCAGTCTCGGGATGGAGATTGAAGTCCCCCAGGACGAACATCCTGGGGGTCCTCAACACCAGTTCCGAGACGATCTCTGTCAGCTCAGACAGGGAGACTATTGGGCAGAAGGGTGCGCAGTACACCAACAGAATCCCCAATCTGTCTCGGTCGCCCAACACCAAGTAGAGGCACTCCAGCCCTGGCCTCGAAGGGACCGGAAGTCCCATGAGGGAGATGGAGGCTCAGTAAACCAAAGCAACCCCCCCTCCCCTCCCCTCCAGGCGTGAACGGTGCTGAACCAGATACCCAGGCGGGCACATTTGAGAGAGGGCGACATCCCCCCCCTCCCACCCAGGTCTCCGTTATGCAAGCCAGGTCGGCCCCCTCATCCACAATCAAGTCACCGTCAGGCCCGAGGGGCGGTTGACAAGACTACCTGGAACCCTCTGGCTGGGGGCAAAACCAGGAGGAGGGACAGGTGTCAGCCATCTGTCCCCCTTCCTTCTACGTGGACACGTTAAGCCCCCACCGCTGTAACGTCCATTGCCCATGACCACCCCAATGGCGGCGCCCACGCGCTCCCCAGGAAACACAAACATCGACATGGCCAGGGACGACTCCATAAAAACAAATTAAAATACAATAAAAC